TAAAAAATGTATGGATCTGTATTTTTCCACGCAGGACCGGGAAGAGAGCGATAAAAAACATAAAATTCACCAGCTGATTTTCTTCAAACGTTTTGGTGCATTATAATTCACAGAATAGGCGATAACCTCGCAGACGATATTTTTCTATTAGAAATTTCTCAGTAGCATCTTGGAGTCTGAAATAAAAAAAAAGTTCAATTAGTACTAAATTTTTTTAAAGCAGTTGAAAATAAAGTATTTCTAACATTATGTATGTGATATATGTAGGTATAGATTAATATTGTACTATGTAGGTAGGCGCCACCGCGCGTCTTCAGTAGCCAGTCGCTCATTACATGTTATGAAGTCACACCGTGTTTTATAATTTAAATACCGAGTTACCCAGTATATCTCAGTGGCGACGAGGATAGCAACGAACTCTTGGAAAAGTATTTGTAAACGACAAGTATTTATTTAAAATGTCGATTGGAAAAATTTCTGAGTTTGACCTACATAAGGACGATTGGAGGTCATACGTCGACCGCCTCGAACAATATTTTGTTGTCAACAAAATTTCGGAGGATTTACAAGTTCCGACGTTAATTACCGTGATGGGCTGTTAGTGAATTTATGTACTCCAACCAAACCAAAAGTTAAATCTTTTTTGGAAATCACAAACATTCTAGAAAAACATCTCCAACCAAAACCAAGTGTCCTCGCAGTAAGATATAAATTCCGGCATAGAAAACAAAAAAGTTGTGAAACAATAGCGGAGTATGCAGCAATATTGAAGAGAATGTCGAAATCTTGTGAATTTGGTCAATGGTTGGAAGAAAGTTTAAGAGATCAGCTGGTGTGCGGTATTCTAAGTGAAACTATAAGGCAACGACTATTCACAGAAGGCACGTTGGAATATGAGAAAGCGTATAGCTTGGCAGTGAACATGGAGGCGGCGGAGAAGGATGCAGCGGCTGTGGAAGAATACGGGTAAGGTGAATCGTCGGGCAGCTCGAGCACGGCTGAGTGCCAAGCGATGGCAGCGACTCGACGTGGCAACGGACGCGGTCGGCCAGGGAGGACGGCACCTACGGCGTCGAGGTGGCAGCGGCAGCAAAGAAAAGCAGCGGACGGAGCACAACAATGTGCTGCGTGCGGCGGACCCCATGGCAGCACGAAGTGTCGGTTCGCGGTATATGTGTGCAGAGTATGTAATCGTAAGGGGCATCTACGTCGGATGTGCCCTAACCTGACGACGTACCATCACGTAGACATCGGAACACCTAAAGTGGTCGAATCGGACGAGACGGACAGTGACGAGGTAAGAATATTTGATATTAAAAAATTATCCATAGAAGAGTGTACACCGCTATGTATTTCAATCAACGTTCACGGAAAAGATATTGACATGGAGTGTGACACGGGTAGCGCCGTATCTTGTATAAGTTACAAATTTTATAAACATAATTTTAGTGATTTACCTATCAGCAAATGTAATGTTTTACTTAGATATTACACAGGTGAAATAGTTCGTCCGGTGAGGGTGGCTACGCCACTAGTGAGGTACAAAAATACACAAAAAAAATTAAATTTGTTCATAATCAGAGATGGTAAAACCGTTCTTTTGGGTCGACAGTGGTTAGCCGAACTTAAAATTCAACTACCAGTGTTTCAGTATCACGATGTAAACAATGTTAATTATAAGGATTTTGACGAAAGTAATTTTATGTATAGATTCAGTGAAGTATTTGCGGATGGGCTTGGACGGTTCAGCGGCGGGCGGGTTAGCATCCACCTGCGGCAGAGGGCGCGGCCGGTGTTCATGCGCGCGCGCCCTCTGGCGTATGCGCTGCGGGAACCGGTGGAGCGAGCGCTCGAGCAGTTGGTGCGAGACGGTGTCCTCACGCCGGTGGAGCGCTCCGACTGGGCCACACCCATTGTCCCCGTTCTCAAAAAGGATGGTAATATTAGAATATGCGCTGATTATAAATTAACACTGAATAAAGTGCTAGAAGTCGACCGTTACCCCTTGCCACGCATAGATCATTTGTTATCGCGTTTACATGGCGGTGAACGTTTCAGTAAGATTGATTTATCTCAGGCGTACGCTCAGTTTGAGCTTGACGAATCAAAAAAGTATACGGTTATCAATACACATAAGGGTTTATACATGTACAATCGACTAGTTTACGGCTTGTCGTCGAGTCCGAGAATTTTTCAAAAACACTTAGAAGAATTATTGACAGGGTTACCGAACGTGGGTGTATTTTTAGATGACGTAATTATAACGGGTCCTGATAGTCGTAGTCACATAAAAAAATTTATATAAAGTGTTCGAGCGATTGCAGTCTCACGGGTTGCTCGTTAAGAAAGAAAAATGTGTATTTTTCGCAGAATCTATTAACTATTTAGGGCACGTCATTAGTAAAGAGAATGTTCACACGTGTCCGGAAAAAGTCCGGGCAATTGTAAACACGCCTGCACCCACCAATATTTCAGAACTGCGATCTTTCATCGGGCTAGTAATGTATTATGGTAAATTCGTACGAAATGTTAGTTCATTGCTGGCCCCGTTATATCGTTTGCTAAAAACCGGGGTTTGATTCCTGTGGAGTACTGAGTGTCAATTGGCATTCAATGAAGTAAAAAAAATATTAAGTTCGAGCGAAGTGCTTGCTCATTATACGTTAGACTTACCCGTGGTACTGACGGCAGACGCCAGCGGGATCGGAGTCGGCGCCGTGATATCGCATATCACTGAGGAGGGAGAGCGACCGATCGCATATGCGTCGCGTACTCTCAGCGCGGCCGAGCGGGCCTATGCGCAGATAGATCGAGAGGCCTTAGCAGTAATATTCGGTATTAAAAAGTTTCATCAGTACTTATATGGTAGAAAATTCGTTTTAAGGACTGATCACAAACCCTTGACGTATATTTTCGGCAGTAAAGTGGGCATTCCAGTTATAGCCACTTCGAGATTACAGCGTTGGGTAGTATTATTGTCGGGATACAATTATGACATAGAATATGTAAGTTCACACAAAAAATAGTGCAGATGCGTTATCTCGTTTGCCGCAACCGGTACATAAACGGTTTCCGAAGTCGGAGGGAATGAATTACATTAATTTCGTAGAAAATTTTCTCCCGGTCACAAATGATGACGTCAAACGGCAACAGCAAGCGATCCGGAATTAAGTAGAATTTTAACCTATGTTCAGTCCGGATGGCCCGCGTCCTGCCCAAAAGAAGTGTTGCAGCAATATTATATTAAACGTAATGAACTATACATAGATAGGGGCTGTATTATGTGGGGTTACCGCTTGGTGATACCGCGCACTTTAAGAAAAAAAAATACTTATACTGGTCACATGGGCATTGTTAAAACTAAGTCCATAGCTCGAAGTTACGAATGGTGGCCTAATATAGATACAGACGTCGAATCCGAATGCCGAGCATGTGAGACGTGCGCGGTGGAGTCACAAGCACCCCCGCGCGCCCCACCGCAGCCTTGGCCGTACCATTTGCAGCCATGGAGCAGACTCCATATAGATTTTTTAGGCCCTTTTAACGGAAAAAAATTTCTCATTTTAATAGACTCCAGTACGAAATGGCTAGAAGTGTTTGAAATGCCAAAAACAAATGCTACAGCGGTTATTAAGGTATTACGGTGTACCTTCGCAAGATTCGGCTTACCACTAGAGCTAGAATCGGATCAAGGGCCACCCTTCACTAGCGCGGAATTTAAGGAGTTTTTAACACGAAATGGTATTCAGCAATGTTTCTCGCCCGCTTATCACCCGTCTTCGAATGGCACCGCGGAAAATGCTGTAAATATTTGTAAAAAAACAATAAAAAAAAGCACATAGGGAATCAATCGATGTTGACACCGCGTTGCAAACATTTTTACTTACTTATCGTAACAGTATACATAGCAGCACAGGTGAAAGTCCTTCAATGCTGTTACAAAAACGAACGTTACGATCACGGCTAGACTTATTACGAAGCGATCGCGCGCTCATAAATAAGTTAAATCAGGCTCAAAGTAAGCAAGTGCAGTACACGGGCGTGGTGCAGCGCTCGTTTGCACCGGGGGGAACCTGTGTGGGTGCGAGAGTACGGCCACAAGGATAGGTGGGTGAAGGGAACGATAGTTCATGGCGAAGGTTCGAGGAGATATGCTGTGGACAAGGGGGACAGTCGACAAGTAGTTAAGCACGTTGATCAAATCAAGCGCAGATCAGGGTTGTACGACATACCATACCTTGAGGAGCAAAGCGAGACAATGAGGGTACAAATACCTGATAGTAGTGGCTCGGCGAGAGACGGAATGTCGAAGGAGGACGACGGCCCGGACACATCTCCGACTACGGTTGTGGGTGATTCGGGAAAGGAGAGGAAAAGGGTTTCGAGTGAACACATTAAAAGTCCTGGAATCGAATATAGTACACCGCCAACGTCACCTAGTGCACCGTCGCCTGAACCGCCTCGAGCCCGATCCGGGCGAGTTCGTAAACCTGTTGTTAGGTTTCAAGTTTAGCAAGTTATTAGATTTATAGATAATGTATTATACAGTTAAGGTATTATTATAAGTAAATTTGTGATTACATAATTTATGTACTTTACTTAATAATATCTGATAATACCATATATTAAGAAGGGAGGTGTTATATATGTAGGTATAGATTAATATTGTACTATGTAGGTAGGCACCACCGCGCGTCTTCACTAGCCAGTCGCTCAATACATGTTATGAAGTCACACCGTGTTTTATTATTTAAATACCGAGTTATCCAGTATATCTCAATGTAAAAGTAGTTTTTACAGACGAATTTCAATAGTAGTCGATATCTAAGTCTAGATTCCCGGGTCGGGCAGTGTTATTGGGTTTTTTTCATTCGAAATTTCTCAGTAGCAGCTTGGAGTCTGAATTTGTATCCGGTTAACGGCAATAGGCTCACCACCTGTTACATGGGACTTGTAACATAATTAACAAAAAACTAAAGAACTTAAACACCATCGGAGCCATGGAACCCCCAGAAGATCTCCCAGACATCGAACCATCTCCAATTGTCAAAACACCCATCTATTGCCGAGAAAGACATATTGCCACAGCCATCACCATGACAGAAGTTGATTACATGTTTAGGAACAAGGACAATCCAGCAGCCTTACGACCCTACCACAAGAGAATTGTGGAAGAAACTAGACTAGCAACCATTTTGCCAGCCCAGGCCTTCTTAGCATGGTGTTGTCAAGATTTTGAGAAGTGGAGAGACAGCAACAGGGACGAATCAGAGACAAACAGAAGAGCGTCGCGGGTTGCGGCTTATGTATCGCAGGTAGCCTACACTCACTACTATAAAACCCCGCCACCCAGCCTCACAGAGACAGAGTTTCCACTAGATCACATATACGCTCACCTGTCTTCGGTCCGGGCCAGAGTTCTAGATGAGGTGGCTCAGTCTCCTCAAGCAAGAATAGAGCTCACCATAGGGTCCATAAATGTGACATTTACAAAGGTGTCATCCCTCAAGATTGGCGCATTATGGTAGCGGTTCCGAAAGAACGTGAGTTAAAGAGAAAGATGCCAGGTGTTTTGGAAAGATGACTTTCGATATGAGGGCCTACCAAGTAATTACCGAGCTTAACATTGCTGAGACTGTATTTACTTACATCAAACATCAATCAATGATTCTAAGTGAAGAACAATTAACTAAGACTCTCAACACAATGAGCTGCCCAGGGGGCACGACTATGTCAACATAGTAATAGACTTCTCTTCTTGGTGCACTCACTTCCGTGCAGAATTGGTGGAACCGTTGTTCCAAACCCTAGATAGTTTGTTTGGGTTCACCAATGTCTACAGCTTTACCCACAAGTTCCCTCTTCTAGCCAAATTAATATTCCAGGACCGTTATGCTCCTCCTAAGCAGGACTGCGATGGTGACCCTGATGAGGGCCCGAGATGTGTGCACGGTCCGGAGGCCTGGCTAGAGGGCCTCCGTCAGAAGGGATGGACCTTAGCCACTATCATGAGTATTCTCTTGGTCGCGCACAGGTGTGATACCACTGCATCTTTGCTCGGGTAAGGGGATAGCCAACTCATTGTCCTCCACATCCACTCACCACACGAAACACAGCAATATTAAGCTGCTATTTCAAGCTGTTATTTTGTGAGAGCATGCTCCTTCCCCGGTGGAGCCAACCCATTCGTGCTACGACTATAATATAGCCACACCTCCACTATATTTGAATAGATCTAGTTTTTTACCGATTTTATTGAATTAAAGTTAATATACCAATGAAATCTGTAAAAACTAGTTATATTGAAATGTGTAGCGTTTGCGAACATTACGAAATCATAACGTGATAAAGTTATGATATAGTACGTGAGGGTAATATGGTCATCCGGTTAATATGGTCACTTTCTTATAACTCAAAAACTACATTGGTTTTTTTTTGTATAGTAAATATTTTAGTCGATTTTAGTATGGCGTAATGTAGTTGGTTTTTATTAAGTTGATTATGCAAGTGTTCCTAATTATTTCCAAAGCTTATTTGCTATTTTTTTAATAATATATTGGTAATAATACATTGATGTAAACGACTTCGTTTTTAGGGCGGCAAAAATCAAAGTGACCATAATACCCTCATGTACCTTAATATGTGGTGATGGTGTAAGACAATCCACTACTATATTGTCTCATGGGTGTCTTTTGAGGTGAAACTGTAGACGGGCAATAGTATCTGCCTTAAAACAACTTAAAATTATAAAAAACAATGAATATGGCGATGAGACCGTGTTGTGGCGGTGTTTTTTTTCTTCTCTTTTTTCTCTTTATTAGGATTACCAACGATTGATACATTATTACATCGTTAATTATAATTTACGGTTGCGTTATTTCTAAATGTACAATCACTTAAAGGTAGTCACAACATGCTATCAATTTACATTTTGGTACTATTTATCTAAGGAATTCTCATTTCAAATAATTTGATGTTGTATGAGTGCATGCGCGCGCACGTGTGCGCGTGTTTGTGTATTTAACATTAATTACTAATAATTTAGTACACGATCTGTGCTTTCACAATGTTTGAAGTACTTACATAAATTCTTATAAAACTGACATATGGAATCAAAATTAACATCAACGACATCACTACATTCATTACAGACTTTAGAAAGGCTTGTGACTGGCAAATGCACACCGAGAACAGTTCTACGACGTGGTGGGTAAAGAAGTGTAATTACACTTGTTTGTAATTGGTTTGGTTTGCGTGGAATTCTTATTGGAGTGCGAAATTTAAATTGGGCGAGAAGCTGTGGACAATGTACTTCATTTCTAAGCACCTTGAATAAAAAAATAATATCTATTAATTTTAGACGTATCGATAAGGGTAGCATATTAAAATATTGAAGTCTATCTGCATAGGATGATATTTTTAGTGCTTTTCCAACAGAATATGTAAGATGCCACATAAAGCGTTTTTGAACTCTCTCCAATCGCAACGAATGTGTAGAATAGTATGGACTCCAGGAAACGCTGCAGTACTCCATTATACTTCTTACAAGGCTATTGTACAATATTTTTAAATGACCTACCGTTTCTTATGACAACCCTAACATTTTGGAAGATCTATTTATAATACAATCAATATGAGGTAAAAAAGTTATTTTTTTTTTGTCAAAATCACTTAAAGGTAGATCTTATCACTTCTACTTCTTGTATTTTGTTATTCCCTATGAAGTAATGAGTATAGATCAACATAGTGTTTCTTGTAAATTTAACATGTGAACATTTAGAATAATTAAGATTCATGCCGTTAAGATTACACCAACTTACAAGCATATTTAAATCTGTCTGTAACAATACTTCTAAAGATTAGATTATTCTTCAAAACTTTAAATCATCCGCATACATGTAGGGTTCCGAAAATTTAAAGCAACTAGAAATGTCATTTATAAACAGGTTAAATAGTATTGGTCCTAAATTTGAGCCCTGTGGCACACCAGAGGAAATGATACGATGTTAGAATATCCAGTACCCCATACCGTCCCGTGGTTGTCGTAAGAGGCGACAAGTGGAAACAAACTAGGAGATGTGCAGCAGCGTCTCCCTGCTTATAGCTGAAAATGATAAAAAACCTTGGATACCAACCTACCTGCATGGCAACTATTGTAAATGTCCCTCGTAGAGGCAATCCGTGGGGGATACTTTATTCTTATTTATCAAAAAATTTAAGTATTTGTTGTTATTTTTTCAATTACCATTGACTACAAAAATACACTGTTAACTTGTTGCACCCGCGATACAAAAGATATAAAACTTTGTGTTTGTCACAGAAATAAAATGCTAACGTTTTCAAAGGGGAACGACAAATTTAGTACCGCATACTTTTTTCGTTGTTTTGTTATAGAATTAATACCAGATATTAAGGCAACTAAGCGATTAATTATCATGTAAGTTTTATATTTTTAGAACTTGGGATTAGGTAATAATATCAATAAAAAGATTTTAATAAATAAACGTAATATAAGCATAAACTAAACGCAATGAGGGCGTATATCGCGTATGAATTCGCTGCTAGAGGCGCTACCGCTAGTGTAGAGGGAAGTCTCCGATATGTCAAATGTCACTGTTGGTAGTAGGTGGGCTACGCGTGGTTATTTCTTTTAGAATAATATACAAATACATTTTTTACAACTACATATATATACATTTTTTATGCTTATTTAACGAGTTTACAGCAATGTTTTCTTTATGCAGACTTAAGGACTACGATAGAAATAATAATTTTAATAGAAACATAGAAGATGAAATACTACAAAGTGATTTGGCGCATATTGTTGAGTGGCCTTCAGACAGTTTGTATAGCAGTATAACATCGAAATGTGTATCACCTAACTTGGATGTAGTGAATATCACCACTTACTTTTTGGAGGTTTATAAAGACAATGTGGGAATCACTGAATATACTGTAGTTCACAAAAAAGGCTGTAATATGATGATAAATGAATATTTAGTGGCTCTAGTGATATGTACACAAAATAATTAACTTTTTTATAAAGAACAGGTCCACTCTGAAAACACGAAAGCATTACCATATTTTTATATTTTATATTATATTTGAGTATTGCCTTTAAAAAAGAAAACTTTCTTTATAAGCTGTGTGTTTGAAGTGACTTTCTTGCATGGAATATCTAATGACCATGATTACCTTAAACTACTTAAATATGTCTTCTGCGCTGAAGTTTGAGTTTTATTCTCACCAAGGACAAACATTTGTGTGATGAATATAGATGTTTAATCTGTGTTTTGTGTTTGTATGTATTTACATTTTAATAAATTAGTTTAAAATTATCTCTAGTATGTACCCATAGTATCTCAAACTAGACAATTCTAATTTAGATGATTCTAATATGTATAAAGATGTAACTGTTAATAATCTTGTATTGTATGAAATATTTGCTAGAACTCTTATACATTGTTTTGAGCGATAAATAATTTTGGATTTCTGTGCAGTTTCCCCACAACGGTATACGGTTAACGCTTGCCATGCAAAGGGCATTACTCTTAAATGTTGCTAAACCTGGGACACTCGTGAGGTGGGTTCTACTAACAACAAAGAGCCCTTTTCCTCTACAACTTATTCACACAACAGATATACCATATAGCTATTTGGAAAAGGTTTTCTGTAAGGTGGAGGCAACCAATTATTGTATCTCAAGAACCATTATCTTGTTTGTGTTTCTTTCGTGCTTGAAAATGTTTAGCACAACTTATATCTATTGAACTTAGTGTTTAATTTGTATTTCATCAATACTAATTTTATATCTATGGTCATTTCCTGAAATAAATTATTTACAGTTGTCATCAATGAATGAAGTTTGTGAAGTTTGCTGGGACAAAGCTCGAGATTTGAGCGTACATGTACCACAAGGAAATGCATATTGTGTTGTTCAATATAAGAATTTCCGCTTTCATGCGATACATAAACTAGAGGTATACCGAGAGAAGATAGATAGTTTAAAACGAAAACAAACATGATTGAGTGGGACGCAATCAGCAGTTATTGCTGTAAACTGCATTGTAGGTTTAAAAACAGTGGGATGCTACTGACATGTTATTAGTATTGTTTGGTACCTACCCCATGCTCGCCATGAGGATATCACCTGGCCGGCATCTTAGATGAATTTTTATAAAGAATTCATTAATTATAAGTACAATAAAATAAATGAACTTAAAAAACAATGCGATTTTGTGAATAGTCTGCGCGTGTGAAATATTAGAGAAAACGACAAAACAAGTGGTTTGATGTTGATATAATCTCCCCAAAACTGTGACGCAAAAAGTGACGCATCAGCATATTGTGATGAAAAGATATATAAAAACGAAGATAACGAAAGAAATAATAGGCTCAGAAGGGCTAGAACCCAAACGTAAAGCCAGTTAAATAAAAAAAATTGTGACACTAGTTCATAATCGTAGACAGAGAAACCTATAGACTAATGATCGGCGTGGCCTCGAGTGAGAAAGGACGATAACGAATTTTCAGGTTATACAATAATCTTTATGACTTTTAAACACATTTAGATAAAAAAATTAATTGTTCTAAGAACTGAACTGAACAAGATTCACTAATCTTAGGCTCACAAAACACTTTTTTCTCACTTAAACCAACTTGTAAACTCCATAAATCGCTACGCTTTCAAAGAAAAATTTCAAAAAAAACAAAAAAACCGGCACGGTGAAAGGGACAAACAATCACACTTCTATGCGAGACGTATGCATAAATCTATCTTTTTCGTGTGCGAATGCGAAAGAAGGCGTCAATTTGTCTATAGGTTTCTCTGTCTACGTTCATAATATTATATATTAGTCTATGGTCTGTGTAGCTAATCTTAAAAATTAAACCTGGTTATAACTTCAATCTCCCAAGTTCTAAAAATATTAGAATTTAAAAAGGGGTTTGTCTATCCTACTATCTACCAATTAAAACCAAATATATCTCAAAGCACGAAATTTTATTAGCGGTACGAAACTCCCACACAAGCCTGCCATTCCCCTTTGTAAACTTAACTCTAGAGCCTCCTAGCCTCACAGAGACAGAGTTTCCACTAGACCACATATACGCTCACCTGTCTTCGGTCTGGGCCATAGTTATAGATGAGGTGGCTCAGTCTCCTCAAGCAAGAATAGAGCTCACCATAGGGTCCATTAATGTGACATTTACAAAGGTGTCATTCCTCAAGATTGGCGCATTACAGTAGCGGTTCCGAAAGAACGTAAGTTTAAAGAGAAAAATGCCAGGTTTTTTGGAAAGATGACTTTAGAGATGAGCGCCTACCAAGTAATTACCGAGCTTAACATTGCTGAGACTATACTTACTTACATCAAACATCAATCAATGACTCTAAGTGAAGAACAATTAACCAAGACTCTCAACAGAATGAGCTGCCAAGGGGGGGGGGGACACCACGACTATGTCATCATAGTGATAGACTTCTCTTCCTGTTGCACTCACTTCCGTGCAGAATTGGTGGAACCGTTGTTCTAAACCCTAGATAGTTCTTTTGTGTTCACCAATGTCTACAGCTTTACCCACAAGTTCCTCCTCTTCTAGTCAAATTAATATTTCAGGACCGTTATGCTCCTCCTAACCAGGACTGCGATGGAGATCCTGTTGAGGGCCCGAGATGTGTGCATGGTCCGGAGGCCTGGCTAGAGGGCCTCAGACAGAAGGGATTGACCTTAGCCACTATCATGAGTATTCTCTTGGCCGCGCACAGGTGTGATACCACTGCATCTTTGCTCGGGTAAGGGGATAGCCAAGTCATTGTCCTCCGCATCCACTCACCACACGAAACACAGCAACATTAAGCTGTTATTTCAAGCTGTTATTCTGGAGAGCATGCTCCTTCCCCGGTGGAGACAACCCATTCGTGCTACGACTATAATATAGCCACACTTCCACTATATTTGAATAGATTTAGTTTTTACCGATTTTATTGAATTAAAGTTAATATACCAATGAAATTCGTAAAAACTCAGTTATATTGAAATGTGTAGCGTTTGCGAACAATAGGAAATCAACGTGATAAAGTTATGATATAGTACGTGAGGGTAATATGGTCATCCGGTTATTATGGTCACTTTCTTATAACTCAAAAACTACATTAATTTTTTTTGTATAGTAAATATTTTAGTCGATTTTAGTATGGCGTAATGTAGTTGGTTTTTATTAAGTTGATTTTGCAAGTGTTCCTAATTATTTCCAAAGCTTATTTGCTATTTTTTAATAATATATTGGTAATAATATATTGATGTAAACAACTTCGTTTTTGTACCTATCCTCCTCGTAGTTTTGGTTTTATAGGGCGGCAAAAATCAAAGTGACCATAATACCCTCATGTACCTTAATATGTGGTGATGGTGTAAGACAATCCACTACTATATTGTCCCATGGATGTCTTTTGAGGTGAAACTGTAGTCGGGCAATAGTATCTGCCTTAAAACAACTTAAAATTATAAAAAACAATGAATATGGAGATTTGCTGTCTTTACCTGCTAATTCTAATTGTGTTTTCTCATGCTCTCTTTTAAGCTTTTTTAGTAAACTATTTTAATAATTTCTTTATCGTGTTTATGTGAGTTTAAGCACTATATTTTCTGGTGCACGTTTTACTTTTAGATGCATCGATCCCTATTACGCATACATCTTATTAGGCCGGGGGGTTATCCATGGCTTAATGTTTTTTAATCGTCTAGATGTATATACTATGCTTGTATTTTGTTCTATTGCAGTTTTTAAAGATGTAACTAAAAATTCTGTGCAAAAGTTACCGTCATTCGACTTTATATTGTTTCAAAGTCTATATTACCTATGTCCACAAGTTATCCTTCATTATTTAATTTAGTTCTAGGTTTTAAAGAGGACTTTTTAATTTCATTCTGATTTAAGCACAGGAGTACTGCTTGATGGTCAGTTAATATAGAAGTAATCAACAATGTAAGAGCTGGCTTTTTTGTTTTGAGCAAGACGTGGTCGAGACACGTTTTATTTTCCCTTGTTGGACAAGTGTGGGCAGGTAATAAACTATGGCTAGCGCAAAGATTAAGATAATCGTGAGCTCTTTTATCTCTATTTTCTGGTCTAATGTCTATGTTTAGGTCACCTATAATTGATACGTTTTTAAAAGTTGATAAATTTGACAAAATAAAATTAAGATACAGATTAAAAGAGTAAAATTTGCGGTACGAAGGCTAATGATATATAGCTATAATTGCGGTTTCGTGGCCGAGTTTCATAACAAGACAGTTTCCTTCTAGAAATGTCGGTTCTTCAAATGTAATATTGATATCAGATTTTGGATATACTACGATTTCGTCATTCTGCAATGCATGTTTTGTTGTTGCATAACTACTATATCCATTTAAATTAGGCAATAAAGGATCAGAAACAAGCCAGCTTTCGGTCAGAATACTAATGTCACAGTCAATGTCATGTCTTTTCAATAATACTGTGAAACCGTCAAAATTCTCATTGATACTGCGAATATTTTGATTAATAGTAATAAGACTATTGGGTTGGCCATCAAATCAAATCAAATCAAATTCATTTATTTGCATAATACAGGTATAAGAGTTGTTACAAAAAAATTAGAATATGTACACTGTATTATTACCTTATGAGGGGTGCAAATACTTTACAATATAGTCTACGCATTACTAATTCAATAATGGTGCTTTGAAATAAAATTAAGAATAAGAAAAAAAATATTGTCAATAGTTGAGTCTATAGTGCTAATTGTTGTCATAATAAATACCTTGATATTATATAAACTCGAAATTAAATATTTTTGATAATACGAATAATCAAATCTAAAATGTTGTCATACAAAATTTAAGTTAAATTATAATTTAATATACTAATCTTACTAAATTGTTACAATGTGTCACATATATTAGGTAAATGTATAAATTACTATTATTCAGTTATAATTAAATTCAAATTATTATTATTATTAAGTTACAATTAAATTAAAACTATTGCTATTAAATTATAATACTTTTGTCCTCTAGGTACTCTTTGACTTCATAACAACATTTATTAATCAGAAATTTGTGTAATATCGTCTTAAATCGTGAGATGGGCAACTTTCTGACATCATCTGGCAGTTTGTTGCGAATCAGTGATGCCATACAAAGAATACTTTTATTGAGTAGTGCTGTATCTCCATACGGTATTTCTATGTCTAATCGTTTTTTGTCGCGTAACTGTCTATAGTAGCTTTTAAAAGCAGTCTTGTAAAATTTGGATTTGATTTCACAAATAGATTTATTTCGAAGATATACATCGAAGGCAAGGTCAGAATTTTTAAGTGTTTAAAATATGGTTGACAGTTTGTAGTATTATCCAGATGGCACATTGCTCTGATGAATTTCGTTTTGAGCTTTGAATGCAGATTCTTTATTTACCGAGTTGCCCCAAAATATTACACCATATCTTAGGATAGGTGCAACAAGTCCGTGATAGGCTAATAAAACGGCTTCTTTATTGACAATCTTGGAGAGTTTGTAAAGAGCAAACGAGGATTGATTAACTTTTTTGCAGACATTATCTAGATGTGTTTTCCATGATAGGTCATAGTCAATATTAATTTCTAGAAATTTTGTATTTGTCACTGGACGTACTGTATTGCCTTGGTAACTTACATGTATAGTTATGGGTTGTGTTCTTTGATAAAAGTGCATTATTTTTGTTTTGTCCATATTTATTTTAAGATTGTTTTTTAGGAACCATTGAATTATTGTATTTAATGTTTTATTGATTTCATTTTCGTAATTGTCTTGCCTATCACATTTTATCATTACTGTGCAAATCTGCAAAAAGTACCATTGGATGTTCAATATGTCTAGGGAGATCATTTATATATACCAGAAATAGTAAGGGACCTAGGACATTACCTTGTGGGACTCTGAATTTTATGGTTCTAGTGTGAGATCTATATTTGATTTCATTTCGTGTTTTCTGGCATATTTGTGTAATTTCTGTTATTTGTTTTCTATTGAACATATAAGAGGAAATGACGTCTAGCGCATTACCTCTTATGCCATACCAGCTAAGTTTCTGAATAAGTATCTTATGATCAACACGGTCAAAAGCCTTGCTCATATCCATAAAGACAACACATATCGGATTTCTTTTATCCATGCTGATTAAAATCGTTTTAATTAAGTCAGAAATAGCTGTATTTATAGATTTACCCTTGCGAAATCCTTTTTGTTCATTTCTATAAATATTATACTTTTCTAAATAACTGTATAGTCGATTATATATTACTTTTTCAAATAATTTTGAAAAAATAGATATCAATGTTATCGGTCTATAGTTTGCCATATTTTTTTGTCATATTTTTTGTGGAGTGGAATAACAATAGAAGGTTTAAGTTTTACGGGGTATATTCCGTTAGAAATGCATAAATTTATTATGTAGCTTAAGTGAGAAGCGATTGACGAGGACACATACTTTATAACTTTAGTGCAAACACCATCGTAACCCACACTTTGAGTATTTTTCAGTTGTTTTATTTCTCTATCCACCTCCATAGGCATTGTAGGTACAAGAAAGTGTGGCATTAGTTTAGTTTGCTCAACTTCACATATGGCAGATTCAGATACAGAAATTTGATCAAGTTCATCTCCTATATCTTCATCCATTTTTATAAATTATATGGCATTTAGGTTCTAGTTTAAATAGTTCTACTAAGTAAATTAAATTGATCAGAGAGAGAGAGAGAGAGAGAGAGAGAGTAATAAGTTGAGAACAATGTTATTACCTATATAAATAAGATTTGTATAAGTATTGGTTGTGTATTGTGTAAGTGTGTAGTGGTATGGTATGGAGTTATAAATATAAAGGAGAATCATTAGCACGTAGAGTGTAGAGTAGTTAAAAAAGTAATATGATAATGTGTTTAGAACAAAATAAAAAAATGAATAATCTAGGCTAGTACAATACGTTATTTGAATAATTAGTAGTAAAAACATTTTTCTTATTATATACACCATTACCTGGAATGATAGTCATATGTTCGCTTCCTTTAGCTTTGCAAGATCTGCTTCTTCATTAATTTTTATTTGTGGGCTTCCTTCCTTCTTCCGCAAGTAAGATATTGGATATTTAAGATTTTATTTAAATTGCCAATTTTTTGTCTATTGTACTAATTTATTTGCAATTTGTGCATCTAGTTTTATTTTTCTTATAATTTTTGTGTAGTAGATAAGTTGCATTATTATTTTAAACATCAAGATCTTAGGTAAATGACCAATCTGGGTCGTAATAGATGATTAATAGCTGAAAAAAAGAAATAAATTTGTACAATATATTGTTTTTTTTTAAGAAATATTTAAAAAAATCTATGGCAGGTATGTTGCAGATGTATTTAAAAATATTTATGTTTTTCAGCTATTCAAAGAGGTGTATCAATAAAGGGTATTACCAGAATTCCAAGAAAAATCTTACCAGTAATAAAATTTTGGGCCTTATTCTACTACATCATGCAATATATAAAGATTTTTCACATATAAGTAATTTTTAATCACATTATTGCTTGCATTGCATATTTTTAAACTTAAAATTACATTAAACGATCGTATTGTTTCGGATTTGTTTCAACTAGCGACTGTTCCGAGTTTGTATCCGAGTTGTCACTGTCGTTACAATGTCTCTATGTGTGTGTGGAATTAATAATTTTTTAACTGTCATGTGTGAGTTTCGTAGTGAAAGACTTGATTGTTTCGTATGGTAAGTGTTAGGAACCAGAGACCCTTCATACTGGAAAGGAGCCATTCCATCTTAGTCCCCACGGGTGACAACGTATCTGTATTTAGATTCGTAGTCGAGAATAGATGTAAATGTCTATGGGCTACATCAACCATTTACCATCAGGTGGACTGTGTGCTCGTTTGTCATATTTATCCTATAAAAAATTCATCGCGAAGTAAGTGATTTGTTACAATCTTCGGGTACTCTCACCCCATTCCTGTGTACAATTTTGGGTGGAAGTTGGGGAAATATCTAACAGTGATGGCATGTTAAAATACAAAAATTTATCTAGTATCACTAAATAAATGTTTTTAATTCAATGTTATGTACCGAACGAAAGAAACTGATTTATAAACAAAAATATATCAACAATTTTAACAACCTGTCACCCTAAACGCATACACCTCCGTTCCGTCGTGGATAAAAACAATATGGGTTTAAGATGAAGGAGGTTGTGTCAAATTTTATTTCCACACACAGATACATTGTAATGATAGCAACAACTCGGATACAAGCTCGGATCAGTCACTAGCTGAATCAAGTCCAAAACAATACCACCGTTTAATGTAATTTTTAAGTTTAAAAGAAGTATGTAGCAATAATGTGATTAAAATTAATTACATATGAATAATCGTTATGTATTACGGGATGTAGTAGAATAAAGTCCAAAATGAGACAGTCCAAAATTGTACAAAGCGTAGGCATGGTTTTGTACAAGTAGAGAAATAAATTAAAATAATATATGTACCACTTTTGGTCATTCAAATGCACGAACTTGCCTTTATTTCAGTGGTATTAATATTTTATTTTTACCACAAACTGCAATTGATGTCGTCTTGACGTTAGCTTCTCTATCTGGTCTGTGACGACAGCTGTCAACTGTCATGAGGTTATTGATCAATATATTGTAATTCGATACTCTAAAATAAATATATTCGATATTTATTTTAGAGTATCGAATTCGTATCAATTTCGATAAAATTTTAAACTGTATTAATCGACAAAACATTAAACTACAAAAGCATTTATGTGCTGTTGTTGTTTTTCGTCGTCCCACCGTACAGTAATAAAAGGAAACGGTCCATTTTAATGGACAAAAAGATAATCGATAGCTAATAAAGAAAGATAATAGATGAAAAAAATATCTTTTTTGACGTGACTAAAACGATGAATTAAGACGTAAATCGAAGAACGCCGGCTGCATGTACGAAAACGGATGACTCATTGTCCCGTTACGCTCCAGCCGAGCCCAGCACGATCGGAGCGGGAGCGCGGCACGAACGAGCGAAAGGCACGATCGGCTTGAGCGTTCAGCTTGCACCGCATCTATCTCTCTTCCACTCGATTGGCCTATGCGTCCAAGGACAAAGACAGATAATTCAATTTTATTCATAAAAGTAAGCAATCATTTCATCAATATTTTATTACGACGTTGCCACGTAAAACTATCGTCCGTAAACCGAATTTACAGACAACAATTTTTTTACAACGTTTAATTAGCTTTATTTACGCTCTATCATGTTATGCATGTCACAGCTAAATGAAACGATAATTTCATAAAAATATCATGAAAATACCTAAATATAAAACCAGCAGTGAAATTTAAATAACTTAAATCTAAATGACAAGGATCATTGTACGCGCACATGAGTAGATAAACGGAATAATCTACTCATGCGCCGCCCGCGATCGTACTAATAACTAATAATTTACAACACTTGTCTAAACACCAAACTTATATACTTAACTTACTATTTTGCTACTGTGCTAGTCTTCATCCATCCACTTTAATTCGAATTCACAAGTTAAATAAACTAAATAGCTGGTTCGATTCCCCGCTAATGTAAAATTTACTTAAATTATCCATCGTGTATGTATGTTTATTATTCTGATGTATTCAGTTATGTACCTATCCAGATCAGTTCAGTACTAAGTTATTTAAAAAAATTAGGTATGAAACAGCTTACCGATCCAAATCCTTAAATAAATCTGCCCATACGTTACAGTTAGGTTTGGTATTACTTCGGTTCCACAGGCCTTTTCTGGAATATTTCGACTCGTCCCTCCAGATGACGTGCTCAATGAAACCAAGCACACGGTGTTGTTGGTCTAATAACCAATAGCAGAAAACTTGCCGACAATAATGATCGCAAGGAACTAATGCTTGCACTTTGTATGGGCGCATTCGTTTACGCTTTAACACCTTGTGAACTACCTTGTGAACTGTCTAGTATGACACACTTATTCCATCCCGACGCTTTAACAAATTAGCTCTACTTTATAAAATTGTAAATTCATAATGCACGTGAAGCATTCCCGTGAGCTTTTCCAACGCGTATTAACACGTATATGTATGTCATGAACAACGTATATGTACGTCATAAATTGGTAGATATGACATGCCACAACATGTTAATACGTTCAGCAATAACTCGATTTATTGAGCTCAACGTAATGGTACGGTGTCTGGCAATACCAATATTTTAAATTTGGGTTACTGTGCCACAATATAACGATCTCTCAAAATTAACGTGCTACACCGCACCGATTTTTTGGCCTTTTTTGATGGTATTCCGCCCTAGTACGAAGTACCTATTTTGTTAGTGCACAACGTTACTATACGTCGTTTCGCATAAGAAGTTTCTTTGCATCAGTCGACTTTTGCGTTTCAAGGGGTAGTGCGTGCGCCTATTTTATGTTGCCATGGAATATTGACGCAAAAAGTAAGTATTTTGATTATCTTACAATGTTACATATAAATGCATTTTAGTTTATTATGTCTGAATGTGTTCAAAATACATATATTGTATGTTTTTGTTCGTTTTAGACATGTAAAATGAGCCAAAAAAATAAGGATTCTTCAATGAAAATCTTTGAGAATGACGTAATCATTCTGGAAAACCACCCATGACCCTTTTGTTGAAGATGGAGAATTTGGATCGGATGGTGATTACCTAAATTTGAATCGCAAAATAGGGTAAGCATAAATAAGGTAGTTTGGGGACATAGAGATGAAGGTCAAATTGCAAAATACCATGATCTTTGTTTAAAAAATTTGAGAGATATTAATACTTTCAATGAATATACTCGTATTCCTTGCTGTGATAGAGGGTGTAACCTTAATGCATAACCTTGATCATAGAAAATCTACAGATATTATAATGTATAATAAAATTGTTGCATCACTGTCAGAGACCGCTATCTTTTTTTATAGAAGAGGGGGCAAACGAGCATACGGCTCATATGATCTTAAATTACTACTGCCGCCCATGATCAACCGCAACACCAGGGGAATTTCAGGTACGTTGCCGGCCCTTTAGAAAGGAGTAAGCTCTTTTCTAGAAGGTCCCCAGGTCGTATCGGTCCGGAAAAATCGCCGGTAGTAAACTATGCCACCGAGAGATCGTACGCGGAAGAAAACTCTTTGTGAAACGTACAGTGGTGGATCGCCAAGCATCCAGATGGTGTGGATGGTATCGCGACGTTTTCCGCGTAGTGCGTTCACGAAATTTGGCGGCTGAGATTAATCCGAACAATTCCTCAGAGCACTCCCCGTGGTATATGCGAAAGAAAATGCAAAGAGATGCAACATCTCTTCGCAGCGCCAGTGAATCGAGCCGATCGGAAAGCACTCAGTGGTCGACGATTTGAGCCGCTCTGCGCTGGATGCGGTCAAGTGGAAGGAGCTGGTACTGGGGAGCTCCAGCCCAGAGATGGGAACAGTATTTCATGTGCGGCCGAACCTGCGCCTTGTAAAGTTGCAGGCGGTGTGCCGGCATGAAATACTGTCCTGTTCTGCTGAGCACTCCAAGCTTTTTAGAAGTCATTTTGACCTTCTCTTCCAAGTGACCACGAAACTGCACGTCACTCGATATGTTGACGCCAAGGATTT